ATCAGATGTAGCTGATCTTAAATAGTGCGTACGCGACTGACCGACCGACACATTACTTCACAACTTTGACACGCACAGCATTGCATCATTTCCTGAAAGCACCGTTTCCTAAGAGCACATGACCTCAGTGAAACTCTACTAACATTTTGACATGTTCCTCAACTGACCATGTGTGGCATTACAGTAAGTCCTTTACAGAGAGAAATATCGCTGTACATATTTAGGCAAAGCACTTCGAAAAGCGACACACCTCGAAAGAGGAAACTCGCACCACCACCATTCCTGTCCGACCAGTTCAATCAGAGTTTAAGGTTATCTGAACTGTGAATTAGACTAGAGTTGTAGCTATTCAGTTGTCTTAGTTTAGAAGTAATAGCAAATAGGATTTAGAAAGACATATTAGTGCTCAATATAACTCACTATTGTGTTAAACCCATTATAGTACGAAATTCGAAAAACAGAAAAATGGATGTTTTCTCAAAAATCCCGTGTTTACCGGAAAGAACAGGCTGGTAAACAAAAGAAGACTACGAATCAGGGTGAATAGCGGTGGAACAAATCTTCGACTATGGGGCGCTGTACTGTGTGAGAATAGTGTCGTGAGTGAATGTACGCGTGGACAGCACAACAGCTCTCGCGTGACGAAAGTGAACGTCCAATGTGAATGAACAGGCGAAATTCTCGACGAATCTTCAATCGATTTTAACCCTGCTCCGAACACTTTTTGAGAAGGACGCTGTCACAGTAAAGCCAATACAACTGCAGCGCCACAACGCCGCTCAGAAGAGGGGTCAACTTTTTTCCTGCGTATGGAAATAACTATTTGTGTTCAGATTTATATTAGACAAAACAAGTAGTTGAATAGTAAGGTGCGAGCCTCTTCACCTATAGCTCAGTGTAGTTGTAGAGCAGTTTAGTGTAACTACAATGTAGCTACTAGAAATAACACTGATAAGTTTAATTCGCTCTTAAAGGCAGGTGGTACGATGAATTGGATGTCGAATAGGGAAGACTATGCTTACTATGAATGGAATCTGGGTCTCCATGGGAGCGAAACGTGGCCTAAATGCGGCGAAGAAGACGTCTACAGCGATGTAGCAAGGTCATACTCATCCCTGTAGAGATTTTTGTCGGTGTGCCGCCCATCGACAGGCTACCTCAGCTGCTGATCCCTTACCGTCGAACTCTAGCCGCTCCGGTAGAAAGTAAAACGTATAGGTTAACGGAGTCCAACGGAGAAATCAATAAGAGATCAATGAAGAGAACAGGCATCCGCTTTACGGATTTTGGTCCTTTTCCCTTGGTTATTTTTTCACTGATATTCCTCTAAGCAGTTCACCTTCGCTCTTAATGGGAGAACGATTCATCGCATCACCTGCCTTTAAGTTTAAATTGGCTCAGATAAGATTTAAGACATTTCAGGAAAGCAGCTACCATCGAACCGAGTCATCGAAACAGGAAACGAACCGCGGTGTTCCGATGCAGGGCGCGACTAACCAGGTTTACTTTGCTACTAATGATTTCCAAAGAAATTACCTAAAATAATTTCTGGACATAGCTTCACATCCTTTCAATCCCTAGGAGACTGATAACCTGCCAAAAAAGAAATACCTTGCCTCATTGCTTCTCTATGCCCACTATTACCTTTGCTTTGAATCACGAACTGTAGCGCAACAAGGAGTGATATTATCCTTCTGAAATATTATCGACCAAACGCCAAGCCCTCAGAAGGGGGAGGCTGAAGCGACATCCTGCTCTCCCACACTCCGTTACCCTTCCAGAGTAAGCCGTGGCGTCGTCAATACAATCTCCAACCCATTTGATTCCGCTAATCCGATCTACCCTCTGACTTCAATTCGGTGGTCGCATACCCAGTTCCCCTAATAATTGGTTAAGTGGAATTGTGGCAGCAGTAATATCACCAACATGAGAAGCAAATTCTGAGCCATTACGAAACTATCAGATCGACAGCTTGAGAAATGATTTCACCGACTGTACAACTGCGGACAGCAGTTCTCCTTCAGTCTGTTTGTTTGCTCAACAACAGCAGTGCTGGTGACTTTTTCGTGTGCTTCTAAAAATGTAGCGTAATTCCGGCTTGTCAGCTTGTCCCCGCAAAAAGCCCGTCAAGGCCGGCTGACGAGAATTCTCAGCACTATTACACTGCTGTACTAAACCTGATACCTATCGGGCCTAATGATAGCAGCACTCATCCTGACTCCATCGAATCCCGGCCTCCTCATTGACTCCTTTATATTACAGCTGCTGAAGTCTCTCCTTGCTGTATGTGTGGCATTAGGGTTCTACCAAGCAGTTTCAACCGTCGGTTCTCACTCTTCAAACGAGGGGGTCGCATTGTATTTTGGACGCGGGGGGGAAAGACGTCCGCATTTTGGTGTTGACAATGCTATCATTGTGAGAACGAAGATCGTCAAGGGTTGTGTTCGACGGTTTTTTGCCGAATTTGGCCTCATACTACCATTTACCCCCTCTCCCCTCGCGGCCTTTGGAATTATGGAGACCGCGGAGACCCCATGATGAGCCAGATGGCTGATGGGTGTCGGAACTGGAGAGGGGGAGCTCCTCCACAGAAGACTGATGGGATGGGCGTCAACCAAACCTCACCAAAGGGGGCTTGCAAATTTTTTTGCAAATGTGGACATGTCGATTACCTCACCTACGAATCCTAACTGCCTCCTTCTTCCCACAGCTGGTCAGGTTCGCGCCGATGGGGAAATAGGAGTGGGGGGGGGGCTGTGATATTTGAGAAGTCGAATTGACCTGAGACCATATGGGAATACTTGGTTGTCAAGAAATCACGAAGGTCTCAGCATTTCCTTGTTATTATCATCCGCACCACTGCACCTGAAAACCGCCCTCCACAGACCCTGAAATCAATTTCTCACAATTTGTTTATAAGACGATGTTTTACGACTTACCAGTGAGCAGTTTTATAAAATTATGATGTTTATTCACTTGTTTATTCATAGGATTCGGTCAACAAGTCGTACATAGTCCAGTCTTCAACGGCCCCGATGTCTGTGTCAACTCCTCAGAATTACAGCACTAGCTACCATACTGAGACTCATACGACTCAGGTCTAATTCGATGCTTTCAGTTGTTCGCTCTTTCTTTCTTTCTCATTTTTCCAAGTTTAATTGCTCTGTGAAATCAACCTTTGTTTTAGAATCCAGCGTTTCAGAATCCAGTAGTGATGCATTCACCTGGAGGATCGTACAAGAGCTATCAGAGCTCGCACTATTCCAAACAGGTAAGACAAAACGAAGTCGTACGTTCGACGTGTGTGCAAAAATGGAATCATTTGGTTAATTGTCAGTGATTTTGGCTTTTTGGGTTGGCGTGACCATCCAGGGCGTATAGGGTCGCAAGTGGGGCGGGGGCTAGACGCGGCATATTGCACTACAGGGTTTATAGGGGTCGAATTGAGCTAAATTGAGAAAAAGCTGTTGCTCGCCAGGCTATGAGAATATGGTAGATCCCATCACAGTCTGGATGCGCTTACTACTGACATCACATCATCTGCCTTTGCAAAATTGCATAGACAATCGAATCGTCAGCGACGAAAACGGGATTGCCATCGTGGTCGGCTTCCCACGTTTAAGCGATCGCGCCATTCACTCCCACTCTTATGATTCATAACAAGCAATAAACTTTGCCCAATATAGTTCACTTCTCGAGATCTCTTCTATTCAGGAAAAGACAACCTCTACAACAACCACTCAACCCCAGCCAGCGATCACCCAGACAACAAATCTGCCAATCACGAAGAGCACCACCTACAACTATTCACAGGTAAGTAGTCCTTAAGAGGGTTGGCAAAGCGTAAAGGCGAGCTGCTTACAGCAGACAGTGCCATCGCACCCTGCTCCGGTGCAAATGAGTCAGTCCAGCTTCACTTCACATACCGAGAAGGTCAGTAAGGAAGGTAGAGGGTTTAGTGGGATTTCATGATTGTTTATAACCGCTACTTTAGAATAATGCAGCTGACGCATCGCTGCATAGTGAACAGAAACATTCCGGACACATTTCTGTATAGAACGAGGGTCTATCCCAATAAGGGGAGGGAGTAGTGGTGATAGGTACCATCGCTTGAAAACTTCTATTTTAGTAGAGGAAGCTCCGCGGGGAAGTAAAAACGAAAGCGGAGTAGTCCGGAGATCGCTTCACTCTCCGGAAATTGGAATCAGTGTAGCTGTGCGACCTGTGGTACCACACAGGCTTCCACCACCCCCTTGCTGGACAGACCCTTGAATAATTTTGGAACTATGGAAACGAATAGAGAAAGTCTCTGATGGCTACGATCCATCGATCGACTTAACCGTTTTGACGATTAATTGGGTGCCTTGGCTTCTCGAGTAGAAGTGCCTACTGTAGCGTGACAAGGACTGCAAAAGATACGTATATCTAAGCAGGTCAGATTCCCATCAGACCGTCCTAAAAAGGGAAAATAAAATTCCGGACATATCGAACGTTAGGTGGCGCCGGCGCTATGGCCACAGGCCCCGGCACAACTTACCATTCGCCGGCTGGTATCTGTTTGGATCGCCGAACCTTGTGTTCTCTCGAGTTGGTCAACCTCTGATTGGCGCTCGTCTTTGTGTTCCACAAAAAATAGAACAATTTGTGAAGACGTTTTTCCGTGTGTGTATATACATAAAATTAAAATAAATATTAAATATGAATACAAAAATTTACATTTCTGAATTTTCACTTTCAGAGCACCACCGAGGCTCCACAGCCTCTACCAGCGACTCAGGCCAATTACCAGGCCCATATGAGCAGACATAGGGAGGAGGTATGTACGTTTGGAATTACTAATCATAAAACATTTTGAAACATTATTGAATTAATCGATAATATTCTAAGATATAAATTCATTCTTGTCGGTTGTAATCTTGTACACATAAAGGAAATTCGTGAGATTCTGATTTATTAGCTTCTTTCATTTCCAGACTCATCGCGAAGAGACCAGTCGCCCAGTCTCGCAGCTCAGCCAATTCAGTGAACAGAAGAGTTTCAAGAGGAATGTGGAAGAGAAAACGGAAACCAAGTAAGTGTGTTCTGTTGATTTGTTTATTTTTATGAATACTATTAATTTGTGAGTCTGATGCACATTGGCTGCGTGCGGGCGCGACGCGGTCGTGACAATAGGCACAAAGATTTTGAACAACCCTACAGGCGAAATCAGAAAATCTTTATGGAACCGGTACAAAAACAAGGCTTTAGGTACAGCTTTGATTTCCCATAATTAGGACTTGAAGTCGCAGCCGCGTCGACGACCGCGCGCATCTTTAGCCTTCCATTTTTTGAGTATAAATTTTCGCAAGACCTGGGAAATCTCAGTCAGAAATTTCGTTTGCATGAAGATCTTTACGAGATTCGGTGACCTGTAGCGGGTGTGATGGTGAAAATTTTCCAGAACCATCCCTGGAACGACAACCCTCTACACTTCGGATTCGAACCGAAACTTTTCCGCTCAGGATGTCTTCAATAAAAAGGAAGAGATGAACGAAACTCTTCCACTGGGAAGTATTAGCAATACACATGCTAATACTCAGGTATCTGATTTGTTTACCATTGAAGAAGTCCGCTGTACGCGAAGTGAGCATCATCTTTCCTGTAGGACTTTAGCATTTCCATTCACAGTATGACTGAGAGTAGATGGAGCACATGGTTTGAGGAGGATATGGTAGCAGGGTAGAGCACTTACTAAGGAAACCGTACCGGAGCCAGGAGAAGAAATCGTAACGACGTCTAACTAAATATGTATAGTATGGGTCCCTATCACCTTCCCTCCCTCTCCCCTCCTAAAGGTGTCCTGCTAGGGAAGCACACAAAATTACTGTTTTACGAAGCTGCAGCAGAAGGGGTCTCTTCCTGAAAGGAAAAAACCCACCATGGGTGCGGGGGGGGTCCCTGGAAATCGGTGTTTGGTCAAAAAAAGCCTTACGCAACCTCAGCTGTGATTAATATTGACGTCATTGTCCGATATGTCCGTGACGTTAGCAGTCGGTTGATGGGGGTGAAACATGTATTAATTAGGGGTTTGGATTGTGCTCTGGTAATGCTAGTAAACCCCGTGAGCAACCTACCCCGCTTGGTATGACACATTCCTGGTTTTTGTGATAAGTTACGTGGCGTGCCCATCAACGAGGCATGGTAGTGCGCGGTACATCCTCCATGTGGGGTCCTATGTGAGCGTTTGGGCTTTTGTAAGCCTAGTAAATTTTTTGTAAAATAGTTGATTGCAGGGTGGATACCGAGACCAACAGGGCCATGACGTCTCTTATAAGCGAGAAACACAGACAGCTGTTGACCCTGGCAAGGAATACGCGCTACTGAAGGAGGAAGAGAAAAGGGTGGTGGAGACCGATTTGGAGCCCGGTGTAATCTCAAGGTTCGCCTTTCTCTTCCAGTACGCTTCAATTTAAGTCTTATTGTTGTTTTAATCAGAAATAATGTAAAATTTGACTAGACCTCCGAGAATGCGCCACGCATGTACCCTCCCTTAAAAGTTAACCGTGGATGGTGCATAGTTGGGCGGTACTTATTCGGGCCAAGGGATTGCAGTGAAACAACGTAAGCCTAAGGTTCGCCGTCTGCCACTAGGAGGGAGAATCGCATTATTGAAAAACGTTTCAGGGGAAGGAATCAGTGTTTCCAGGAAAAATCAAGAAAATTTTGGAAATCCGGCATTGGAAGGTGGGCTGCATTCTGGATCAGATCTAGAAGCGCCTTCATTCCTGTCCCTCATTTACCTCCCAACAACATCCTCTGTAACATCTGCACAACTTCAAGGGGTTATTTTGAAAAAAATACACAACTGAAAAATCAAATTGCAATCAATAAAGCAGCAAACCACCTTTTTCAGGCACGTGACCACAAAATACTACAAGAAGAAGAACCGTAACCGACACCACAACGACAACAACCCCGCAGTGAGCGGTGCCGTCGAAGGGAGCCTCCTCGATAGAATCGCTACGCTATTGAATTCATCGAAAAAATGCTGAGCTTTGTGCGCTCAAATCGAACAAAAAAATCACCTGAGAAGATTCGATGCATCTTAGACAGCCTGCTTTCCTAAGAAAAAAACCAAAACAAAATCCGTCAAAATATTATTTAGAACAAGCCGACCGCAAGTATTCTATCTGAGGCGACCAACCTATTATTTGTATTGAAGTCTTCTCCGAGCTATTCTTTCTTCGGCATATATGCTGACTTTTTTCAGAATTCTTGTCCTCGTATTTAGCCTTTTCATGTATTGGACTGCTCATAGTACAGCTCATTTTTCTTTGCTCTCATATTAGAATATGCGTCGTCGGTACAGTAGTATGTTTGGCATGAATAAATAAATCGAAAAGACAAATGGTTGAACCTCAGAAAGTCACAGTTGACTTCAGGTGCTGTCAAACTCACGCGAAATGTTGATGGATTTGAGTAATCACAAGGGATAGAACAACACCTACAATGAAAAGACGCAGACGCCAAAAGTAGTGGATCAGAAGACGGGATACGTTCTTTGAGCTCCGTCCATAATTTCTAATTAGTTCTTATGGCTTCATGAACCTCGATTGGATGCATTTCAAGTCGGCGAAACAAGCGAGAGACTTTAGATAATCCCAGAATATAGCCCACTGAAACTTTGGATTACGCAGGCCAATATATTATAATCACCTCGCCTTTCCCTATTGTAAATTAGGATTCACTAGATAGTCTTTCTCATAGGTCAGAAGAGGCGAACGCTACATCAACAGTACCCTGCCCAAATGTCATCACAGAGCATGTTAAAGGAGATGAGTAACAAAAACTAAACCTGGAGATACGGCAATTTTAGTTGAAAGAGGGGGCAGGGAACGCGAAAAAAATCTGCTTGTCGGCCCGCTATAGCGTGTCATGATGAAATAAGGCCATGGGGTAAAGCGAGCAGCAAAATAAAATAAAAAAGGATAAAGCATTTGCCGTTGATCAATCCCTTTTTGGGATGCGGCACGCATTCTACTTCCATTTGTACATTCGTAGTGGCGTTTGAATGCGATGTGGCCTATACAATGACTTGCGGGGGCCAGCCGATGTACAAGTCAGTGTTTTTTCCTCCCAGACAAGTCTGGTACCAATTAACCGACCCCGGAGGGATGGAAGGCTTGGTTGGCCCGGGCGACTCACGACCCAGGATTTGATCCCCGGACCGCTCGCGTGGTAAGCGTGCCACTTGCCACTACACCACTTCCGCCGAGAGCAAAAAAGTACCAAGAAAATTCGAGGGGAAAAGGTTAGCACTGCCGGCTCTTGGACGTGGCAAGGAGCTCATGGAACCAAGTACGTTGTGATTGTGGTCATGTTCAAGATTTCGTTATAGGTAGTGATGTTTTGGCTGGAGGTGAGTTTTGATGGCGTCTGTGAATGTTAATTGGTGGAAGGGAGCTATGAGGCGGCCACAATAACATCATCAGCAGGGGTCTTGGTTACCACTGACGTTCGATGACGTCATCAAAATTTGCCATCATCGTGGTCCTGCCTTCTAGGATTCCAACGTTAACTCGTTTAGGGCTCACACGCTTAGTTCACTTGCGATAAGGGTTATACAGCGGCAATTCGCGACGTGCTTATTGGTCTGTAATAGTTATCATCAGAATCGATGCGATTTTTCAGTTCGTTGTATCCACTAAACGTGTCAGGGAATGGGGGTCGGCCATTGGTTGTGACGACACGCCCTTCACGCTCCTTGCTTGAAGGAATTATGCACAAAACAATGGCTTTGTAAGATGAGGCGCAGTAGAAATTTAGGAATCCGAAGAATTTTTTACGTGGGTAGTGATCGGTGCTTATTTGAAGTCCGATGAGACAGCAATTACGGCTGAGCAGGTCTGGTAAGAGAGATTCTCCACCATTTGTTAAAAGATTCGAACAGGGATGACATCCTTTAAAATAGACTTCTGCCTACTTTAGTCTTACAACACGATAAGTTCTTTGGCGCGACAACATTATCTCTCCAGCGTACTCAGGGCGGAGGCGGCTGCGCATCGCCGATGGGGACTGAGTCTCGAAATCGCACACACACCCCCTCCACTAGTCCCACTTCATTTAGGATGTAAGGACCGTGTTTTGCTCGCTGCATAACAACATACCTCTCCCAGAGTACGCCAGCGCTCGTTTTTATTAATGCAAAAACATACTTCAGGCAAAAATCTGACGCTCCATTAAAACCACGGTATAAAGGAACATATTAGAATGAGCTTCTCATCGCCAAAAAACGATTAGTTTTTGTCGAAAGCATAGTGTTCGGCTTTGATGGACGGGGATTGAGCCGCGTGCATCGGTGGTCTGTCCACGGACCCGGCAAAACGTGGGATTCCAGTGGGTGCCCACATCACCTCGGAAGGGAATGCGTGCGCGAGAATGCTCTGAGATTCCGTGCCTGCTGCGGGCTCAATCACAGGGGCCTTATTCCCTGACCCCAACAAGTACGTCGTGTACTTGACGCGTGCGTTAAGCCCTGATGTTATTGGGTATGCGATTCCTAGCAAGACGCAGGAAAGCAAAGTGATTGAATTATGCGACAGGCCAATGCGGTAATGCGGAAAACGTATGCGATGTAGACGGAAGCGAGCGTATATTCAAGATGTGACGGAACAAAGTACTTACTGGGCTTCATAAAAACCAAGGCATATAAGACATGACATTACCAACTAGCGCAAAAACTATCAGAGAGCAAAGTGACTAGATAGAAAAATACAGTAGGAATTGAAACTCTGGCGGGGGGGGGGGGGGGGCACGCGATGGCGCGGCGCTCTGTTCGTCTGCTCCTCCAGGCTTAGTCCACAGGGACAGTTACTCTTTCGCCATTATGTGGCAGTTTCAAAATACGCGCCATCGGTGACTAAGCCTTGGTAGAGCAGACGAAAACAGCGCCGCGCCATCGCGTGCCCCCCCCGAACCCGAGTTTCACCATTTGGCCTATGTGAGGTCCGCCCTATGCTAGAGGGTTATAAAAGCATATAAACGAACCGACCTTCTGGAGGACCGAAGCGATGAATAGTGAAAGCGAAGGCGACCTGTCGGCATGGTTGCATCATGCTGGACTGAGTATTACTTTCGCGAGCTATTTGAAGGCGGCAGACAAGCAAGGGTCCGCGCCCTTCGCAGCCGACGCTTATTCTGACTGTGCGCGTAGCCACATCCTCACGCGCATGGCCTTGGAGCATTTTTGCTAGAGGGCTGCTGCCGGCAGGTCACAGCACCTATATGGCACTTCCGGACGACTTTGAATTATTGTTAGTGGTTAATGGAATTCATATAAGTCCATTAATTTTTATGCATCTACCATCAAAAGCAATGGGGTGAGCCGCCACGCCCAAATCGCGCGTTCCCATGAGGGCAAAAAGTGAAGCTCGCGCTATATCGGTTAGAAGCTAATCTTCAAAGGTAATGTATATAAGGGCTAGGTATGTAGCGTTTGAATTAGATCTATTGATTGGCTTTCCCTGGTTACTCTTTCTCCACTGAGTTATCGACTCAAGAAAGCCGCTAGAGGAGTCCTTCTCTGGATAATCGTGATTCTGCCACACACATAATTCACTAGCTTGGGACACATATTCTACGATAAGAACGAAAAAAGCAAAAGGAATTGCATTTGGTTTGTAGTGAAAATTCGATAACTGAAGCGGCTGCCTACGCATTTAAATTCCCGCCGACATCTGTCACAAATGCTGGCGACGGGAATGCTTCCACTTGGTTCTCGGAGTGCCGTCACTAGAAACTCTTTCTGGCCTTTTGACTTATTGCATTAACATCTCACACTTCTACTGCATCCTATTCTATCGATCGATTTGTCTCTACCCCAAAATCGCACGCTTCGACCCGATTCTTTCACTGTGTCGCGTGATACGTAGCCGCCTGGCTCGGAGTGTGGTTTTTGTAAGTTTGTTTCCCTTCGGAAATAGAATCGTAGTGCTCGTAACTTTGTATGTTGTCTCTAATGACCACAACTGGCATATGCGTGTTGAGAAAGAATACATGGTTTTTCTGAGAAGGATTCTTCAACTGAAATAACGACACGTCTAGTGGAACGCTGAAAAAGCTTCTCTTTATTGCGACTATACATACCAGTCGGTGTAAATGCTAAAATACAGACTCGAAAGTGTGTGAGAGGGAGTACGCCCGGGCCATCACATGGGCCTCAAGAAAGAGTTCGCTTCGTAATGATATTTATTTGAACACAAAATCAATAACCGTGCAGTCACTGGCCACAAAAAACGCTCAAAGACTCCATGAACTGTTTCATGTTATTGAGAGGATTTGAAAGGCTCAGAAATACTGTCAACTTCTGCTCTTGAACTGTGAAATCAGGCTGAAGTTTTGGATAGGGTCCAGAAGACTTTCGTGGTATCGTGGAACGCAGCTATGATAGGCGGATCGTGGAAAAATGATCCGTGTTGAAGCCACTTGAGATTCTTATGAGGAAATGGCTTACTTAAAAAGAAAGTGTTACAGGGGAAAGGAAAATAGAACTAGCTATAAAAAGGATGGTGAGAGGGTGTGAATGAACAAAGGAAACATTTCGAGTTCTCATATGTTCGTAAATATTAGTAAAACATTGTTTGGATCGTTGTTACAATACGGTAATCACCGGAGAGCAAAAGTGGGAGTGGGAAAAAAATCATGGACGGCCGGCAAACTAGAAGTAGAATCTGCCAGTCAATTTGTAGAGTCTTCTGAGTGCCTGCTTGTCGTAGAAAGAGACAGGATTTCTGTGGGTGTGAATGCGGTGACCTGAAGAAGATCCATGATTATTCATTTATGATTATTGATTATTCAGTAAACAAAGTATTCAGTATTTAATAAACAAGCATTTACCAAGCCCATACTGCAGCAAAGCGAGGAGTTGAAGGGACAGCTGGGCCTGGCAAGAGAGCGGACCCCGCGCAGCGGCGCATTAAGGAGAGGGAGTAAGATGCAGCAAACAATAAAAGCTGCGAAGCCGGCAAGGAAGAAGCTGGAAGAATAGTGGACATGCTTGCCAGCTCTTCCCCCCCTCTCCCTTGATGGTGTTCCTGTTCTCTTAAGAAGTCCCTGTAACGAAACCTAAAGGCACTGGTCGCCATTGCATTCATAGTACAGTACTCTCAGAGAGTCTCATAGCGGGGTCCTCAACCACAGATCTGTTAGTGGCTGTCGCGACTCGAAACTGCATGAGAGCGAGCTAAGGCTTGCCTTGCCAGGCGTCAATTTCGCTCGTCCGCGACATTCGTGCTGTCTGCGTCCTCTCGTCCAACGTGCTCTCTCGCATGTACCCTCCCCTGGCAGCGCTTTACACAGAGAAAAAAGAGTCACAACGAGTAAAACCAAGCAATAGGACGCGCAGCATTCGATTTGATTGCGGATGAGTCCAAACAATGCGTAAGGACCTGCATCCAAGCACACGCTCTCCACGGCTCCAAGTGGATGTCGCAATCGAGGCTCGGCCGCTCCGCCTACTTCGAGAGCGTTCGACTCCTTTCTAGCTACTTTCTAAGGTGAGTTTCTAGTTTAAAGACTCTTCTTATGTACTTGACTAGAGCTAGTGCATCTTTCCACCCCATTACAATCGAATTGTCAAAACCCTGCTGGGGCTGCGATACTTTAATGAATGGTAAAATGTACTCACTCCTTGGTCATACATGAAGTGCCGGTTGAAGGCATGATCTTGTGGCTTTCGCCATTCGTAGGCAGAATATGCGAATCGGTTGGCGTAGTCGTCGGCCTGAAATCATTAGCCTGTAACCCTGAGAAATAGCGGATTTGAGAGGCAGCAATTCTCAACGAAGTTGAAAGAGCGTCCTCTCATAAGAAAAGCAGAAAGCTGTGTATAACTCATTTGGAATATAGCCATGTTCATGCTAGGGTCATCCAAGCTGACGGAAGGCAAAGTGAGTTACGAAGAGGCCCGCCTTGCGCAGGCATAGAAGCAGCGCCAACGGTACGAGTGGCAGGCGCCAACGACGAGTCGGCTGTAATAAAGAGCATTTGGGTAATAGTACGTATTTAACTGACGCGAAATCATACAGTCGCGAGGCGACAGGTCCGCTAACTCTATTTCTTGCGCGAGACGCGCCTCCAGGATCGGTTACTCCTCGGAGACTTTCCTCAAAAGAGTGGTAGAGTTGTGTCCAAAATTCGCACACCCTTATGTTGATCCTGTAGTATGTTGCTTGAAGGCATGGGAACAATATAGATGTATGAATTAGTTTCCGGCTAAAGGGCACCCTCTGGAGCAGGAAAGAAACTAGAAGCCAAAGCCTCTCTAGCCTCAGCTGAATAAATCGTTTGTAAGACGTGGAGGAAGGGTCAAGTTACGAAAGCGGTTGCACACGGTTCATTGAAAATGATCTATACCCCATAGTTAGAGCGATAGGATGAGATGAAGCCTAAATAGCTCACCTTTAGCCGTGCTCCAACATAGCGGTCCAGGTACTTTTGCGATTCCCGAAGATACGACGCGTTGTTTTTCATTTTCTGAAAAAAAGTCTTTGGTGTCGGAATAATCTTTCAGAAACTAATTGAGCAACTATGATATCTGTACGTTCGATTCCCTAAAGTTTCACAGTTTTCGGATTCATCTAAATATCACAATAAAGCATATGAGGGTCGTTTTTGGATGCGCCATGCATCCAATTTTCATTCAGAATGTACTGGTGTCGGAATGCAGGTGAACACGCTACAGAGAACCGTCAATATGGAGTCAGCGCCTTCACACTCCCATGCCAACTTGACGGCCTGAAATGGCTGCGAATGGCTTGCTTGGTGCAGGGGTGGGCATTCGTCATTCCCTTTTTTGGAGGCTCGTAAATCGACTTTCAATTTGAGTTGGTACGCGAAAAATCGTATACAACAGTGGGGGAGGGGGGTATGGGTAGGCAAGATTTTGGACAGGAATCAAACGGCGGACTGCCTTGTACTGGTGAGGCTACTTGTTACTAGCCCTTTTCGCCTTCATTTTATCTGTTCAAAATATTTTGCCATGATTTCTAGACCAAACTCAGCTAATAATTACCTCATCAAAGAAGATTCGTCTCGTTTGGAACGTATAGTACGGTACATGTGATGATAAAGGAGTCATGTAGTTGATTGAAGGACGATATGGCCGATTAATAATATCGTGAGTGTCCTGAAATAGTCTGTGTTCAAAACTGTCCACAAAAGGAAAATCGCCCATGAATATGTAGGGATTTTATCAAGCAACGTGGTAGCTTTTGAGAAATTCCAGGGAGATTTTGAAATTGGTAATCTTTTGGAGAGTTTGCGGGGAGGATCAAAAGCTGCTCAAAATTAGTAGTACACCATTTGCAATACTTGCCCATCCTTCTGCAAGTTGGTGAAGCTTTTCTCAGATCCAACACTACCAGAAAGTTGCTATCGCGCTCGGCTAGCTTACGAAAAGCGTTGAACTAGGGTTGAATTTCATAGTAAGTCCGAGGAGTCAGGGGGTTATAGATAATATGAGCTCCTACCGTCAATCTGTCACAAATATTGTCGCTAGGAAAGTAACAGTGTGTACATGTTCAACGGGTAAACGTGAACGAGTTTCCCGTCAGATCTCTTGAAAGAAGCAGCTTTTCTCATGCTCGTGCCTGTGCCTTTAAGTTTGGGATTTGCCGTGCAACTGGTCTACCTACAGTTTACTGAGCAATAAGGATCAAAAGTAGGTCGAAGCTTTTGACGTAGCTTTTTTCAAAAAACCACTCACCTTCCATCGTGCCACCGAATAGCTGTTGTTGTACCAGTTGTGCACGTGAGGCTTGTAAACGGGAGCGGTGTGTACAATACGTTGGGCCTCTCTGAAAGCATTCTCTTGTACTACTGAATTTGCTTATTATTCGCCGCCGAAAGTGCACTCACTGGTTGCACACTTGAGAGTTCAGAGGACGGGATTTTTGACGAATTTGGTGAAAGCTTCACGAAAGTAGTGTTAGGTAAAAATGGTGGATTTGCCGCTTCATGGTATCCATT